CCAGGTCATGACATGCTGTGGTATGAAATACCTCTTTGGTCAGTTTGGGTCAGGTGTCCTGTCTCTGCTTCCTCCCGGCTTCCCATCCTCCCTGGCAGAGCATGAGGCCCACAAAGTCCTTGGCCAAACCAAAACATCATTGTTATCAGCTCTGTTCCCAGCTGAAAGTCAAAACACAGCACTGCACCAGCTACCAAGAAAGAGAAAAATGGCTGCTACTGCTAAACCCAGGACATTATGTCACTGTTGAGAGTTTGGATGGCAAGTCTTAATGAAGATAGAATAAGTGTTTACCGGATTGTCAACAGCAAACCCCTCTCTCTTAGTATCAGTAACTCAGGAGAGCTTCCTGTGTCCCTGTGTTTCTTCACCATCTGTAAATATCTGAGGTCTACAGGTGAAAAAAATGATAGACTTTTAGTTACTAAACCAAGATATTAGCAGTAAAAGAGGTGGTTTTGTTGTTTTTTTCTTCAAGGTTGAAACTACCTCCTTACGAAATAAGAAATCATTGAGTTAAGTTTCTCAGTGGTCTCATAGTTTGTGATTCAGATTAATAAAATATATTTTCTTGCAACTTGAATCTTCTTCAGCTAGATATGTTCTTGAATTTTTAAAAAGATAAAGCATTTTGAATTTTAATTTTCTTTTGCAGAATGACTATCAGATATTTTTGTTGTCAGATCAAGGCTTACATGGCTCATTACGTCTATGCACAGCAAAAAATGGATCCGTAATTCCCATGAAATTTTATGTAGTTCAACATCAACACTATTCTGAAATGCACTCTGTAAAGACTTGTTTGAAATAAGGCTTTTGCTCTTGAAAGCTAATCTTAGCATTGCCCTGCTCTTTATGACTTGACTTTGAAATTAGCATTGCAGAGTCCAGAGAGCACACTTCCTCAAAAATATTTTCTTAAGATGCTATGACAGCTTCATCAACTGCTACTTTTGGACCATTTCATTTAAAATTAATCACTTGTGGAGTTTTCAGCAAGTACACTTCACAAAGAATACACTTTTTTGTTTGTTATGAATGTAGACGTATTTTTGCCTCTTTAAAAAAGTTGAAATAGTTTTGGACTTCAGTAAGATCTTCTGAATTTTATTGCCTTTATCCAGGTAGATGCTGGCATTTATGAAATATCAGTGTTGGCTCTGTCTTTTTTTTAATGATTTCTGCTTGTGCTGTCTTAAATTAATTATTACAGATTATCACTTTGCCTTGTCCAGTTTTATTTGCTATAGAAATTAACAGGACATTTGAGGGTTGTTTTGGGATTTCAAAATTCAGTTGGCAATTTCATTCTTTTGCACCTTAGAGATCTAATAGCCAGCTTGCCTTTTAGCTGTGTTCTGGAAGTGAAGGAGGGAGACTTGGAGAGCTTAGCTTGATAATCTACTTTGAAAATGTCATTATTGGAGCTTTGTTATCCCACATTACCTCTAACTGGCACATAAGACAGTATAGAAAACTGAGTATCTTTCTGACACAACGAATATTTTCTATTTGGGTTGCTGAAATTTTCCTTTTTAAGGCAAGTCCAATATCAAGGTAGTAGCTTCTATAAAATTTATGTTGTCCAAATAGCTTGTCTTTTTGATAGATTCTTGGTAATAGGTTCAGGTTTGAAGGTTAATGATGTTTTATCCTATAAACATTAGGTTTTGTTTACAAATAATCAAGTCGGTAAGATTTTTTCATTCTAATCCTTGGATCATAATTCCTGTATATGTTAATAAGCTGTATGAAAAATGACATGAATTTACTGGTCACCAGATTTTCAAAGCTAGGACTCAAAGGAAATATTTTTTTCCTGTAAAGTGTTCACATCCTTTGCTACTATGTTCTTTTCATGAGATAAGAAATAATAGTAATGGCTTTGTTTTTAGAAACACATTTGCATAAGTAATAAACCTTAGAAGAGAGCACAGGAATAATCAAATGAAATTGTTTTGTTGATTCAATGTCAAAAGTAGCAGTTAAAAAAAACCCTAAGCAACAAACAACACATCAAGCAGCAAGCTCTACAGGATAATACCTTTATTATTCTTTTTAGGAATAGAGTTGGCCACAAGGTCTCTCAAAGGAATATGATCTGATAGGTTTCTCACTTGTGATATGACAAATTACTTGCAACTTCGTTTTACTTGAATAGCCTTCACACTAAAAGAAGTGTTCATGTTAATATTTATTCATCTGGGCTTTTGTCATTGAAGTCATGCAGCTGAAATCATTGGAGTGTTCAAACGTGATAGCTGGCTTAAACTGCTGTTCAGGCTGTTGGGTACCAGGGGAATGGCTTCACTGTAAAATGTGAATAGAGCAGTAACGATCTTTCAAAATCAGATGATCCGATTGTCAAGAAATACCATTTCCCACTAGTTTTTATAATAAACCAGAAGATAGGGTGGCATATGGAGGTAAAATTTCTGATATGTAGATAACGTATTCAAATGTGATGCCAGGAGTTGAGGACTAAAGAAAAGCAGGTAAAGAGGTAAGAAGTATTTGAAGGTGAGATAAAAAGAACAAAATTTCTTTCCATAATGTACCCAAGAGAGCTGAAGGAAGCCAAAGTTGAGAATCAGTATTTGAAAATGTCATGTTGTTTTTCTAATTACTTTTTGTCTCTGACCTTTGAGAATTTAGGAAAATAGTAAGGCTAACTAACTTCTCAGATGACAAAAAAATATAGCTAGGCTTGGAATTATGTTGTTGAACTCTATGAAGTTTCATCTTATACCACGGTAAAATTCTTCCTTCAGTGTCAGCCTCATAAAATTGGTATTATAAATAAAGTACAGAAATTGTATTTGTAAAAATGCACACAAATGTAACATCTTGATGTAGTAATGTCTGTCTGAAACATTTTGTAGACATTCAAGCGCATGCAAAGGAAAATTGCCTCATTTAAGGAATAAATCTGTGTAAATGCTGTGTGAAATGGTGCCACTGGAGTTCAACATCTATAAAAAATTTAGACATGTTATGTAGCAATTAAAGCCTCTGCTCTGGACACAGAGAGAGTTCTCTCTGATATGTAATCAATTTAGTAACGCCTATGTGTAAAAATTTCTGATACAATTAATGAGGCTTTGTAAAATACATTATAAAGCTATTCACTGTGTAAATTATCTTCTTTAAAATTCAAACAGTAAGAAGAAATAAATTTTCTTTCTTGTCTGAAATACTTTTTAAAAATGTCATATTTTTTGCCTTAAGAACTTCAAAGAAAACTGCACTATGGGAATGTCATAGTCCAAAACCAGGGAAGTATAGAAAGAAATATCAGTCTAGGGAGTGACAGGGAAAATACCCTGCACATTCTAATGCCATGTATTCCTGAGAATAATGTTAAGTCCATTCATGAGACTTGATTGTTTTGATTTGTTTGATTGTGTAGACTTTTACTATAATTTTAAATTTAAGGTTTGTAAAAGAATTGTGTTGCTGTGCCTGCTGAGAAATGAATAACTTAAATATTGGTGCTGCAAGGAAGTACTATGTGACATGCCTCTCTATTACATTGCTTGTCTGAACTGGAGGGCTGATGATGACAACCATTATGAAACATGGAGAATTTTCACATAAACCCTCCTCAGGGTTTCATTGTATTTTCCCCTTGAGCCAATTTGGTCATTTAAAGTTGTTTAAATACTAAATGTGTTTGTCATTTTGTTAGTATAGCTGCTTTATGATTTATTTTGTAATTCATGTTCACACTGCAGGTTTCAGTCTGAAAAACAAGACTGACTTCAGCTTGTGACTTGGCACATAGAGTGCAGTGTATCACAACTGTATGGTTAAGAGGAGTAGAAGGAATTAGGTGAAGTTGGAAGGATACTCAATGTGAAAGACAACAGGGATTCTGGTATTGAAGGTGTTAAGTGGTGAGCAGTAACATGGGACCTTAAAATAAGGAAGGAATTTAGAAAGAAATGGATAGGCAGTAAATGAAGGGATACAGAAAAAGGAGACTGGAGTGGTAAGGAAAGATCTCTAGCACCAGATGTAAGAGCTTAGCCACAAGGTGAAGTTTGAAACATTGGTAGTACATCAACACCGCCTGTACCTAGAGCAGTAATGCTCTCATTGGTGCATGTCTGTCCTTCCTATACCATACCCTTCTTCAATATGATTTCTCACTAGTAAGTGAGACTTCCTGATGTAATTTTTGTAAACACTGCCTATGCTCAGTTAACCACTTTTGGTTTTCTTAGGTGTTCTTCTCTATGTCCATCTTCTTTGATATGAAACAAAGGAAATGGCTTTGAGCAACCTGGTCTCAGGAAAGGTGTACCTGTCCATGGCAGGAGGTTGGAGCTAGATGATCTTCAAGGTCCCTTCCAACCAAAACCATTCTATGATTCTATGATCCTATGATTTAGGTAACTGATTATGCTTTTACAGGTAGCCAGTGAAATGAATTGAAAATAACTATAGCATAAGTCATAGTTACAGATATACAATCAGAAGGCAAATTTGAACACAAACTGCAGCTCCTAAGAGGAGTTCTAATGCCATGTATTAGACCTAAGGGAGTTTTTAAGCCTACAGCATGGCCTACAGCATATACCCCATATACTGTATAATCACGATGTATGTTGAATTCACCTTTTCTAGGCTTCATTAGTAAACTAATTTGGAAGGTGTGAAAGTCCCAGTATTAATATAGTGTTTATTTTTTCTATGTAAATTTTGCAGTAATTTAATTTTTGGAATGCAGGCTGTTATCATACCATTAATGCACTTCTATTGCATTTTATGAGTCTTGGCCTAAACAAAAAAGTGAATGCTGTATCTCCTTGTTAAACAAACAAACAAACAAAACTAAAAAAAAAAAAATAGAATGGTCTGGTTTTTTTCTAGACAAACTGAGCAAAAAATGTAGATCTCTCTTACACAGTGGAACAATATTAGTTGGCACAGGGAACTGAAGAACAGAAAGAGGGGGAAAACATACTAATCTAAAAATGCTGTTGTTTTATTCCTAGGTTCAGACATTGTTCAATGGTTAACGAAGAACTTATCCATAGAAGACCCAGGTAATTTCACTTTTTTTTTTTTTTCATGTCTGAAAATCCTAGTTTGTCTTTTCAAATGATTGGACCTGACTTTATCTGCTGTTACAGCAGGAATGGCCAGGCAGCGTTTGAACACTATAATTTCAATAACAAAACAGAGAGCATCAAACCTTAGAAACCTTTGCTAAGAATCTGAGGATTTCTATTATCCATTTTATTGGAGCGGGTACCAGGAAACAAGATGATGGCCAAGAATAAAAATGATATCTGCTTTCATTAGCATAAAATGAGTTTAAAATTCTACTCCTTGAGGAATTTGCTCAGTGTCATGCTACATAGTTTATTAAACATGGCCTGTCTTCTTAATAGATTTTTTCAATATATGAAAAATAAATAGAATTAATAAAATAAGCTTTTGTACAGTTACTGAGAGCTGCACTTCTGTTCTTAAGCTTGGACATTTTTATAGCATCTTAAATGGAAAGTGAACTGTAAATAAAATCAGTGCAGTGAGGAAGAACATTTCATTGCTCAAATGGCTGGGTTGGAAAGTGGAAGTAAAGCTGTGGTTACAAGCTCTGACACAGGTTACTTGTGTGGCCAGCATCAAATGCAGTTTAGTGTTTATCTGATATTTATTTCCCTGATTTACAGGAATCTTGTTACATGATCTGAAATTTTCTGGGAAAGAATGATTTCTAGTAGAAAATGCTTAATGCCAGAAAAAAAAATATTCTGTGGAAGCTCCTATTATCTTTTGGTTAGAGGAAAAAATCTTCCTTTTTTAAAGCATGATTAAAAATACTTATTTTTCCTCTCTCCAGTCTTTGGGGAATGGAATTTATGTTTTATTTTGTTGTTTGTTTTTATTTCAAAAAATTTTTTTTTTCTTTTCTGTCATATTAGAAAAGAAAGGATGATCATTGTGTATTTCCAGCAAAAAGTAAAATCGCTGTGTTTAAAAGTGTGACTTGAATAATGAGGACCTATTATAAATTCATAATACAGTGTTTGGAGGTAGCCAGCTCACAACATATCTATATGTTACATGAAAGAGATCATTAACAGCTTCCGATTTTATGTAACTTTACACAGTGCCATATGTTTGCTTCCTGAAGGTAAAATGGAGGTTGGAGGAGACCTATGTGTGATATATTTCTCAGTTGTCAGCTACTAAACACTCACCTACCTGTATTTTCAGAGTTGGAAAGATTGTTGTACTATATTTATTTGGTATGGAAGCTTAACCTTCATTTGTAAAATCAGAACTGCAATACTATGGGAGGTTTTCATTCGGATTATCTGGTTGTTGCAAAATTTGGAATAGATAAAACCTTAAACTAAACAGAAAAAATGGTTCCCTGTCTTGATATCCAATTAAAATTAAGCAAACACATAAAATACTAACATATGTAGCCAGAACAGCACAGTAATTTAATGTAAGGTGGGTTTTATTATCTCAGATTGAATGGGTGGAAAAAATTATCCGCATGATAAAAACATCTTACGCATGTTAGTCGTAGTCCAAAGTCAGCTATCTGGAGCTGGCTGAATGCAAATCTTCAGAAAGCCACTCACTCTAAATGCTGCCTTTGGGGAGTGCTCAGAATTACCAGATAGCAGTAAACCTGACAAATGGTGGGTAAGAGCTATTCACATGACAAAACCTCTGAAAAGACTCTGTTTTGTAAAATCTTTTAAGTGTGTGACTTTTTGTTCTGATTCTAGAAAAGACAATCTAGATTTTCCTGTGGAGAATCCCTACATTTTTGTGAACTGTCGTCACTGTAATTTGAATTTCTAGTATCTTTTCTCTGCTTTTCACCAGTATATCAGGGTTTTACTATGACTCTGTTTTAAAACTCCCCCAGTAGGTTTCTGTTATAAAGCTTCTGTGAAGCTATACAATTTTCTGATAAATAATACCTGTGTTTGCACTGACAGTCACCCTATCCATCTAAGTCTCATATCAGCAGCATACCTGTAAGAACAATGTAAAGTAGACCTTGGTTCACATATTCTAAGAGTATGTTCTACTCTGTCCTGGCAAACTTCAGGTCTATTTTCATTCCTCATCTACCATTGCTGTGAACTACTTGTGCAAGCAAAGCATGCAAATTGTGATTTAAAGAGACAGTTAGATTCACACAATCATAAAACAGCCTGGGTTAGAAGGGACCCCAGAAGATCCTCTAGTCCATCCTTTAATGGGAAAGAGAGCCTAGTTGGGAATAATTAGCACCCTGTCCAGTTGCATCTTGAAAACCTCAAGTGATGGGGACTCCCCCACATCCCTGGGGAGGTTGTTCCAGTGAATGATTTTTTTCACTGTAAAAAATGTCTTTCTTATACTAAGATGAAACCTTTCCCCATGCAACTTGTACCCATTGCCCTTTGTCCTTTCCAGTGTGGGTCCTTCTGAAAAGAGCTTCTGTCCTCTTTTGTAGCTGCCCTTTAAGCACTGGAAAACTCTGTTGAGGACGCCCCTGCGCCTTCTGTTCTCCAGGGTGAAAACACCTAACTGATTCAGTCAACTCCTTTTTCAGTAAAACAAAGAATAGCAAATGGCACTACCATACCTTAAAACAAACAAACAAACTCACATTTTGTGGTGAAAGTTTTTCACTGTTTTGCCTAGGGAATGCAACTCCAATACCATTTTGGTGGGAATGAAGAGGGCTGCTTTATGGATAGTGGGATAACACAAGGCAGGATAAGGTCAGGCAGCATTTGCTTTCACTGTATTAATAAGTGTAAATCTGGAATCAAGTTACAAGTATAAATTGCCAATCAAAAAAAATAAAACCAGACCACCACCACCACCACCCCCGCCCCCCACCAAAAAGCCCCACAAAGCAACCCCCCCCCCAAAAAAAATCCCATGCACATTTTTCACAAATGGAAAATTATTTTCTGTGGAAGATTTGAAAGATTTTGGCTTGCTGCAGTAAATCTCCATCAAGAAAATAAAATGGAGATGATGGGTGGATTCAGTGAAATTGTACCAGATTTGAAGTTATTTCAGTGCAGAAGAGTAGAGCTTGTGCCCAGAATAGCTGTGTGCAATGTACAGTTGCTGTTACATTGTTTGCTTTTCAATATGTACTTAAAAAATGTTCATGTTTCAGCCTACAACTCATCTGTAAAATTTTAAGGAACAGAAATTATCTGAGTTATTTTTAATATGGAAGTTTAATTCAGTCATAAAAATAAGCCTGACCTCACCCCAAAAAGAAGCAATTAACTGACTTTATAAGAGTTGTAAGGGCTTGTGGTTGGGCACTTAGATATGTGCTTGTCGAATTGACCATTACAGGGTAAGTGCTGACTCTTCACTGATGGTGCCAATTACTCTTAATGGGGAAAATCTACTCTGTTTTTCTACAGTGTGTTTTTCTTTTTTAAAGTGATAATTAGTGCCCTGAGATGTACCAGACTGACCACACTAGAGATTGAAGTACTTTTAATCCTCAGGGGAAAAAAATAGAACAAAAAGGGTAAATGAGCTGATTTGGAAGTGTCAGCTGAAATTGCCAAGAGACTAACTCTGTACTTGTTCTTCTACTGATTTCTTTGATGCCCTTTGGGCAGAGGCTTGATTTCTCTATTCCCAAGCATTGCAACTTGATAATGGCAAATCATACTGTTGTCTCTTTGAAGGGAAAAAACCTGCCATTTTTCAAGTATTTTCATAGTGAAGTATGTGTTACTCACAAACATGCATGTCATCCTTAAGTCAGCCTGTGAAGGATTTCTACTTAGGTGTTTTAGAGCCCCTAAGAGTTGATAATATGTTTAGTCATCATTCCCTTGTTCCTTTGCAGTACCTTTAGTCCTCAGTGTTGCTTATTTAATTTACTCGTATCTACAAAGCCAATTGTATTTGGCTGAAGGCACTTCATAATTGGATGGTTACTGTATCCACAGTATTGCAACCAGCTCCAGAATGCACAGCCTATGCATTCAGATTGGTTTGGTGCAGATTATTTTGGCAGTCTGTTGAAGGACTTTGCTACTGCTCTTGGACATCAACAATTACACTAATGTCAAATATATCAAATCAAACTTTATAAGTTATATAACAAGACTGTACCTTGAAATAGACACCCTCCTGTGATTTTTCAGCTTCAGCTTTTATCGTTAATAGTCTTTGCACTTAACTGATGCAGCTAATTTGTAAACAGATGCTCACCAGCAGCCATCTAATCTGTGATCACTGATCCAGTGCAATAAAAAGGGAAGTCTCAGGAGCACATCATCTGTGTTTCTTCCACTTTTCCCTCCTTTGCTTTGTAGTAAAATCTCTCTCCAGCAGCTGCTGCATTAATAATGACCACGAATAATACACAGTGCTTGCTCTAAAGAGTTAGAGGAAAAAATATTAGGGTTTTTATTTGAGTTTATGAAAGTGTACTTGAAAAATTGGTCAGCTCTAAGTTTTTTCTGCTCCTTTTCCCATGTGTATGCAGTAAGGTGCAGCAAAAAGCAGGAGCCAGACAAGGTGCTCTAAATGATTGCTATTTGGGAGACAGCGCCAGACAGCTGCAGTTGGAGGCGGGAGGTTCTTCCAGAATTTGCTAACAGAGAAAAGAGCCTCTTATGGAAAGGAAGACAGAAAAGAATTAAAGGTCATGCTTATGTTTGCAGTCTTTGCATTAATCAGAATCTGTGGAAATAGAGCAAGAGTAAAATGCATCCCATTTATCAGCTCAACTAAAAGTAATTTACACTGCCTGCCCACATACCTTAACCCTCATACTAGGAATCTGGGAACACCAAGACTCTCACTTTTTTCATTTGTTTAACAGAAACTCAGGCACATTTTGTTTGACAAGACAAACCTCATGAACCTTCCTCAAGTGCAGTGTATACTAGAATAGCTTTCTAACTTTCTTCTACTGTGTGAATTTTCTCTGAGCTTGTCAGGTCCTGTAGCATTTAAATGGAATAATGACTAGTTTTGGATGAACAGAAGGAAAGTAAAACTCAAATCCTGCTTGGGAATAGAAAATGTCAAAATT